CCAAACATGCAAAGATAAGTAGATAACAAGAGAAAATGACTTGAACTTTCTTAGTTGAACTTTCTTAATGTGACAGGAAATAACCTTTCCCTAGTGCTCACTAAAAGAAATATCAAGAGAGAATTATTGATAATAGACTGAAGTAAAGGGGATTCTTGGTGTTGGGTATCGGGTGAATGATAAGTAGGATGAGCTTCTCATAAAATACTGACTGGATTTCTAGGAAACAGCACAGCTTTGCAAAGGGGATTCATTCCTCCAAAATATGGTGGGATGTAACATTCAGTATCCCATAGCTTTGTAGTATTGGTCAGTCTGAATCAAACAATCCAAATAAATAAACTGGCCTGCCCAAATAATCTATTTTTCTGGATAGGAACTAATAGACATATTGGGAGCTTTTGATATATTAAAAAAAAACATTACTGGCAGTTCCCATAAAAATCACACAGAAGTCAACCGACATATAAAGATTTACAAAATCTCTGCCATCTCACCACACTTTCTCCACTCTGTTGTTTGGTATTTGGTCTATCAAGTCTAGAAATCTCAGTATATTCTGATTATTGGGCTGGACATGGGAATTATAACTATTTGTAGATTTACAGTGATAATCAATGACTGTCACAAAAACTTTGCTTTTACATTTTGTTGGCCATGGTGGAACTAGTGTCCTGAACCTTTTTTTGGCTATTTCTGCATCATACTTCTTATATTTTTACTGCCAAGTGTGAATGTCAAGGTAAAGGTAAAGGTTTTCTCCTGACATTAAGACCAGTCATGTCCAACTCTGGGGGTTGGTGCTCTTCTCTATTTCTAAGCCGAAGAGCTAGCATTGTCTGTAGACACCTCCAAGATCATGTGGCCAGCATGGAGTGCCATTACCTTCTCTCCAGAGTGGTACCTATTGATCTGCTCACATTTGCATGTTTTTGAATTGCTAGGTTGGCAGAAGCTGGGGCTAACAGTGGGAGCTCATGCCGCTTCCCGAATTCAAACCTGCAACCTTTTGGTCAGCAAGTTCAGCAGCTCAGCCCCTGGTGGCCCACTGCATCACCAGGGGCTCGAAGTGTGAATGATCTGTTCCTATATCACATTTCCTCCTTGCTTGTATAACAACATTATTTATGACAAAATGCATCATCAAGCTTGATTCCTTGAGGTTGGGATATGTTGGACATAGGGAAGATGGTGCCTGAAAAAGTGATTGTGGTTTATAACACCAGTGTATCCCCAAATGTATTTGGCAGAAACCTCTTGGCATCATAAAGAGACTGTGACATGTCAAGAATAATACAGTCTTAGAACAAGTTATGAGTCTGCTGATCTTTGTATGATAGTTTACAACCAAATCATGATGTGGTTATAGGAGGAAACAGCTGTGGAAACAATGTGGTATTGACTGAGCAAATGTTGACTTCTTTATGGCATGCAAATTGTCAGCATACTAGCAGGAGGCCTGCTTCCAGCTTGGTATCTGTAATGGACCCTGACAGGAACCTACTGTGCTCTAGTTATCTTGGTGGCCATAATAAAGTAAATCTGCACAAAGCAAGTCTACCGTTAATTGGGAGGCCAAAGTTGCAGCAGTCAAAGATAAGGCACCAGAAAACACTTCCTCCCCTTTCTTGATCTGCTTCCCTTTCCCCTTCTTGAAGTTCAGTTGTGGAAAAACTAGTCATTAGTACAGATGGCGAATCATAAGGGTATGAGTTGGGCGGGAGCTAGAGAAGGGTAATGAACCTTGTGATTTTGCACAGCAAGTTGGAAAATGTTATAAAAGCTTTGAAGGTTAGTGATGAATTGTGTCTTTCTCAGATCTGCCTTCATTTTTTTATTAAAAATGAAGAGCACAGAATCAATTGCAATCTCGGTTGAGCCCACTTCTGGAGTTTTCTTCATAAACTGAACTGCAACAATAATAAATTGTGTTGCTTTAACTCATTTGAAGGCAATGGGCACAATTTTCAGATGAGGCCTCTTCACATTTACTTTTCTTGTGTGTGGACAAATCAGATGCCAACTACACACATAAATTATGAATGTGAGGTTTGACAACTTATAGGATTTTTTAAAGCAAGGAATACTCAGATTCAGTATTGCCAACTCATTTCTTTGAAATATAGCCTACAACACCAGGAAGGTGTTGGTATTTCACCATCCAACTAGTAACTAGGGCTGACTCTGCTTAGGTTCCAAAATCAAACAAGTTCTGATTCCTTTGCGGTTTTTAGGCAGACAATTATAAACTGCAGAAGGCTATATTAAAACTGAGCTTCCCATAACTTTTTATTGGTTTCTATAGTTTACAAATATAAATGGCAAACGTTAGTAAAATAAGTATGGCAAACTGCATTTTGTGTGAGAGTTCCATTTTGTTCAGTTAGTGCAAAAACAATCAACTTAAACAAATGTAGAGCTACATTTGGGAGTGTAGCTTTGCATATTCTTAGGATCGGTAACTCATGGTGTCGTCTCCATGGACCTATACCAGACTATACCATAATAGGTAAAGGTAAAGGTTTTCCCCTGACGTTAAGCCCAGTTGTGTCCAACTCTGGGGGTTGGTGCTCATCTCCATTTCTGAGCTGAAGAGCCAGCATTGTTCCATAGACACCTCCAAGGTCATGTGGCTGGCATGACTGCATGGAGCGCCGTTACCTTCCCGCTGGACCGATACCTATTGATCTACTCACATTTGCATGCTTTTGAATTCTAGGTTGGCAGAAGCTCACGCCACTCCCGAAATTCAAACCTGCGACCATTCGGTCAATAAGCTGAGCAGCTCAGTGTTTAACCGGGATTGTGGCGCAGCTGGCTGAGTGTCAGCTGCATTAAGATCACTCTGACCAAAAGGTCATGAGTTCGAAGCCAGCCCGGGTTGGAATGGTTTCCAACCAATTGTGTAGCCTGTTGTCGACCTTTGCAACCCGAAAGACAGTTGCATCTGTCAAGTAGGAAAATTAGGTACCACCTTGTGTGGGGAGGCTAAATTAACTAATTTATGAGGTCATAAAAAAGACTCCAGCAAAGCACTCCAGCAAAAAAGCATGCGGGGAACGCGGAAGTACTACATCCATCGCAGATGGATGATGAAAGCGACAGCTCCCCTGGCAGCCAGAAAAAGATAAGTAGCCTCTGTGTATGTCTGTATACGTTGTATGTCAAAATTGGCATTGAATGTTTGCCATATATGTGTACACTGTAATCCACCCTGAGTCCCCTGCAGGGTGAGAAGGGCAGAATATAAATGCTGTAAATAAATAAAATAAACAAATTAGCCCACTTTGTCACCGGGGGCTCCATAATACCACCATAATATTGTCGCTTAAATATCGGGGGGGAGGGGGGAAAAAAACAACAACAACCCATCATCTGCAACAAAATCAACAGTGCCTGCTTTTAGCACCAGCCAGTGAAGCCATGAGAATCAAAGCATTATTGTCATTCGATAATAATGACAGCTCTGACTAGATTAGAAGGTTTTAAAAGCAAATTAGCATAGTTTCAGCTTGGTAGATTTGTGGATGCAGTACATCTAAACTGGGCTTATGAAAAATGTTTCTGTGGTTATGTGTAACTAGTGACATTTTTTATTCGAGAAAAAACATTTCTGCTGAAATACTGTTCCAAAATGTTACAGACAGTCATTCTGGTGTCACTCCATATGATGGTGTTGCCTGGTGTGGCCTGCACCTCTGTCCCACCCTAGTGACACCACTGGGCTGTGTCACGGTATCCAGACACACAATGACAATGTCATGTACTGGGATCCCCTAGTACCCCAGGAGGCTCTCAAGAATAACACCATTGTTTTTGGTCTGGCTATAGGAACATTGCCAGATGCTTCTTAGCTGCTTCCCCAGCCTCCCATGGTCATGTTTGGGTGGAACACAGGGACGCAGGAGAAAGGTAAATCCTGTGGAAAGGGATAGAGAGTGGAATTATGCCCAAGTGGAACATTACACTGAAGCTCTCCATGCAGGCTGTTGCCAAGTATTATATGTGTTTATAACATCACTGTTCTGCCCCCACACTATCTTAACTACTTGGAAGGTGAACTGGCTGCACAGGGAACAGATCAGAGACTATATAGTGAATCAAACAAGAATTTATTTACAGACAAGAATTTTAGACTTTCTCTCCTCTTAAGTCTCACTACAGCGTCTTTATTTATTTATTTATAACATTTGGATCCCATCCTTCTCAACCCCCGAGGGAGACTCAGGGCAGCTTTATGAGG